TGGCAACTTTTTGGCTGTGCTGGACAGAATTGCGTGAAATATGCGGTTGTACTGGTTTCTGGTGCGCACCACCGAAGGGCAGCATCTGTAATGCTTGATAAATTGGCTATTTTACTTTTGAAGTATTTTACTTTTGAGCTACCTCGTTCAGCTATAATTTCCTTTGGCATATATTGGGTAAAACTTTGAAATGCCATTAAACTGTCAAGGTAGTAGTGTGCGGACATAAGAAGCAGTACATGTACAAATTTACTTGTGCAACTGGCATTGAATCCATTAAATATACATTGTTCTGTAAAGGATCCATTATGGTTTACTGATGGCAACGACCTTAAGGAGAGGAGCCCGAGTGTTCATGAAATATAGCAATTTGTTCAACGGATGAATGCCACCCCAGTTTTTTGAATGTTTAATTATTTCAGGTAAAGTAAGCGCATTCGCTGGCCGCCGTGGTGGACGATTTATACCGAGCCAAGCGGAAGACTTGGCCGCATGGGACTTTGGAAGTGGATTTTGTTTTTTAACACTTTGCTTGTGTCAACTAAAACAAGTACAGAAGCGCAAATTAATGAAGTATATCTGGTGACAGTGAGACACACCGGCTTCTCTGCTTTCTGTAAGGAGCCAGATTGGGCAGCAAAAAGAGCGTGTTGAAAAATTGGACGTTCAAATTTATCACGAAGGTGGAGTATTTAGCAGCGGAGTGCAAAATTTATGACGTATATGACTTAATGGACCGAAACGTCTTATCACACTCTTGCCTTCTTTCCTCGTACTATTCCTACTTTCTGTATTCAACTGCGCCTTCGACACTTTGGCTCCCAGGATTGGCCTGAACCTGATGACGCTAAAATTGGTTTAAAAATATGAAACTGCAATAACTGAGATTGGGTTAAGAAAGACATAAGTATAACCGCCGTGGGAAGAAGGAGTTACTAGAATTGTTGCGGCATCCCGCTGGTTCCTGAATTTGGTACTGTCATAAAACGGAAGTATTTTGAGACTTCTCGCCCGGCCTCCAAAGTCACCTCATAAAAGTTCACCTTCATTTTCTTCTTCCTGGCCAATATCACCACAGTTTGCAATTTTCAGCATTGGGCCGAAGTGGAAGTAGTTCAATGGCATCGGTGGTCGACTCGAGCCATTCGCGCACCAGTTCCTTCGGTCTCGCGGGTTCTACTGAGGATGCCCGGAAAGCGATATTGGAAAAGGAAGCGGAAAATCCTTTGGAAAAAGTGTGGTCTGAGGTAGTTCTTTTCTCACATGTACAGCTTAACGTTTGTTAAGCAATTGTTGAGCCGTTTTCGGAGATGAAAGCTCGCAGCGCCCCTTGAATTTTCGCAGTTGCAACATCAGTCCCTCCGCACATCAACTTGTTTCTGCTGTTGTTTACTGATCTGCTCCGGTAATTTTTTTTTTTTTTTTGAGCTTTTTTGAGTCATAATCCCCCACATTATTGGTGCTTGCACTTATTTCTTCCTGGAAATAACTCAGCAAATGATTCGTTGGATGATGCGGGAGGCGATCGCTTTAGACAATCTGGATTTGTATTTTGCTCTTTTTACAGCAGGCTTTGGATTGAAGATTTTGATGCCGTCGTGGCGTTTTATGCTCGCATAATTCGTTTAGAGGATATTGTGCATAACTCACGTTGACACAAACCAAAATGCACTGGCATAAGGCTTTTAAAATAACCAGGACATATGTGTGTGAAGAAGGGGTCAGAGGTTTCTTCATCCTTGAATGCCCACATAGCTGTTTTAGCAGTGAGAGGTTTTGCTTACCAACACGTGAAAGTTTTGGCTGGAAAATTGCTAACTGGGGAACCAGAAAAGCTGGAATTTCAACGAAATATTCCCTCCTCAAGTACAACCTAAAGATTTCAGATTTACTTCCCAGTATGAATGGTTCTCACGTACGGACATTTGAAAGTTTTGGCAGAGAAATTATTGCGGTCGGCAAAAAGGAGAGAGGTGCCATTCAAATAATTAATGCCCTAAAAAAGAGGCTTTTTTTGGGAATGCAGCTGTGTTTCGGGATCCTGTGTGCATTGGAAATGCGGTAGAATATGGGGTAGTTGTTCTGAAGTTCCTGAAAACAAATGATAGCAATATATGCAAGTATTTTATGTATAATTTATATGTTAAAGTATGTATAAGATGAGCATTGGCGATATGTTAAATTAGATGTTTATGACCATATTACGACTTGTTAAAGGTTTGCACCAGTTATGGCTGAACTCACTTTCAGAAGCATAGTACGAGCTAAATTTAAATTTGCCTGAGAAGTTGAATTTTTGTCGAGGTTTTGTTGATAATTGAACATGAAAATGCAACTTTTGTAGGAGTTGAGCAAGTCAAATGTTCAGCCAATAGATGATGACGAATATGTATTGTATGAGCCAGATTCTTCCACTGAAACTCTTGCAAGTGGAGCAATGACTTCTACCACTATAATTAAGTCAACTCCACGCATGATTGGGACAATAATGGAGCAGAATGCGTCCAGTGGATCCAGTCGGTAAGCAGTTTTTCTCACTATCCCAGTAGATTGGCAGTGGCAACGAAATCTTGAGACGGTGATCGCAAGGGATTCGTAAATTTGAGTAAAATTTTGTTGGAAATTTGTTGGCAGAAGAGCAGCTAAGTCTTCATGCTTCTTGCCCCCTTAATCGAGAAGTTAAGATCTGTTTTTTTTTGGCTAAATTTTGTGAATTTTCGGCTGAAATTTTTCCGTCCTACTTTCTGTTGATGCCCCACAGACCGAATTTTTTGCCCTTTTCGGTTCCCACAGACCGAATTTTTTGCCCTTTTTGGTTATCTTTTTTTTCGCCTTGACTGGATTTGTATCCGCTAAGTTCGGTTTATTCTTCGTTTTCCCTATGTAAGCGATTTTAATCTTCTTCGCCTAAAAAAAGGCGTTCTGTCTCCAATGCAATACTGAAAATACTGAAAACGGCAGAAGCAAGCTTTATTAAAATTTCTGATTGTTTGTTCGTGTGGCTTTTTAAGTACCTGGGGGGAGAATCGTAAGGTAACAATTAATTTGTTGACTAACATTTTGCTCAATTCCTGTATTTTTAAGGTCTTCGTCTCCAGTGCTTTCCAAAGTAAAGAAGTCAACAGCAGAGGATGAAGAGCCAGAAGCGGCTTCTCAGGTCACAGAAGAGTCCTTTTCGGCCAAGGAGGTATTTTTATTATTAATAACGATAGAAATATGTCTTGCGCAAATGTTCGTATGTGTTGCCCTTCGTCAATTTTAAGAAGGCTTTCGAATTAACGGAAGACATTGCTATGCTGAAGGCTCTAGCTATCAAAAAATTGTTTCACCGTACATTTCGATTATAAAAAATTCATCTATTAGGCCACACACGTAAAAAATCAACATTTTCAACAAGACCATAAAACTTTATCAACACATTTTGAATGAGAAAATTTTAGTGATTTATTAGGTGGCAACGCTCTAAGTGCTTATTTTCGCAGACGACATTTTGCCGCTTGCTGAAAAACTGGACAGCAATGCAGAATTTATTAAGTTTATGACCACCGTGAAGGAAGTTGAGCTGTAAATTTGCAGAGGAAAATCGGTCGGCTAGACAACGCGTATTGCCTTTAGTTTTACGTAAACTTTGAGAGTCAACTAACTGAGTGTATAGCTAGCTGCATTTAATCAGACAAACAGTATAGATGAACAACAAGTTGGGTATTGAGCGAAACAGAAGGCGGGTGAAGGATGGATTGCCTTCATTAAACCAGAATGCGGTTTTTCTAACCTTAATATAGCAGCTGACACCTTCCAGCTTCACACGCCTTCAGTTCTGCTGTATGGAAATGAATCATGGATTACCCCTCCCCCCTCCATTTGCTAAGGCAGCTGTGGCCCGGCGAATCTGATAGGCATTAGCAAGCTGAAGAATATTTTTGAGCGTAGCTGTTCCGTTTGGTGTGAATAATGCGATATCAGAAGGACACAGGGGAAATCATCAATGTATTAGAAAAACCCAAATGAGCGCCATGGAATTGTGTCTTAAAAGTTTACAAGTTCGGTGATTTAAATAATTGTAATGGTTTAAAGGCATATTTTTGTGAAACTTTAGGAGTACTAGCGAAGACTTGTTCGCGAACTGAATTTAAGCAGTCTGGCGTGGTGTCACTCTCCTCAGTAGTATCTGATCACATCTCATTAACAGCGAAACCTCCACGCTAGCTTTTTAGGCGGACGTTGTGTTGTGGTGCTGGGTCATCAGTCCTCAAGTTTATTTCTGGCGAAACGATAAACTTACGCTGCAAATCCCTCCCTTTTGTTAGGCTTGAAACTCCGGCGTCTAATTTTTTGTGTCACGTACAGGCTTCAGATTCCCGTGAATATTCGGTGTTTTTAGGAATACTCTTAATTAATCATTTATTAATCTGTAGATTCCTCGACAAAATTCCGACATGCAACCGCAAGCAACAACTGAAAGTGAACATTCGGAAAGTGGTATTCTGGGGGGCAGACGACAAACCACACAAGAACTCAGCTATACAGCTGTGGGCTGGAGTCGACCTGACGCCATGCAGAAGTCCGCATCGCGATATACTCACCCTGACAAAAAATCGATCATTAAATCTGAATATGCGATTATAAAACCATCGTAGCGTTTATAATTCAGTTCTATGTGTTTTCTAAAAACAGTTGATTTTGGTTCTGACGCGAGAATCGCAGGATCAAACAATCACGTACGTTATTTGTTTCTTCCTGTTCAGGGGTCAGATTTTTTAAGAATTCGTTAAACGACAGTCGTGCATTACTCAAAAAACTAGTTTGCTTCTTGCACTTTGTAATTTGCTCCTGGTTTTTTTTTTTTTTTATCGGACTTGATATATGAAAGCTTTTTATGCTGAGCGCTTTCCTCTATTGCTTTCGGTGCCGCATTAACTCATAAGATTTGTTCTTTGGGAGTGAAGAAGACGTTTTATTTTCAAGCCAACAAAAATGCGAAAGTGCGGACGTGATTTCGGGGGTTTTTAAAAAACTGGTAGGGATTTGTTGCGGAGACTCACAGTGCACAGTGGGTATACAGTGGACGAAATCGGAAAACCGAGGTCCCTGACATGTTTGCTGCAGGCATCCGGTTCTGTCTGATAATTTGAGCGGTCATGCTAGAAGCGGAAAGAGTATACTGCATACTTGCCTCTTTAAGTAAATTTGTGTTTTGGAGTTCCGGTGAGGAGGCGAAAATGACGCAGAGTACCACTACGGGCCAATTCCAGCTTGTACAAAGGCATATACTTCGAAAAATCTGACAGTTACGTTTACCTGGGCAAG